CAAGAGGATTCACATTGTTCTTGATCACTTCAAGAACACCTTGTAAGCCAAACAACATTTTCATTTGTTTACACCATTTGTCATAATTCTCCGCATCAAGGATGGGTAAGATTGTTGAGATTCTTTCATTTGAGATAGAATTCATGTTGCACACTAGGTATTTGGTGGATCAAACTAGGATCTTGATGTAAAATGTTAGAACTCGAAATTACAAGGTTGGTGAAAATTGAGTAACTGTATGTGGAGTGAGAGAGAGAGAGAGAGAGAGAGAGAGAGAGAGAGAGAGAGAGAGAGAGAGAGAGAGAGAGAGAGAGAGAGAGAGAGAGAATTAGAGAGAGTATAATTGAGAGTGAAAATATGCATTCAACATTCTCATTAATTGATACCTCAAAGGTATATACACAAGTACGATTGATTGGAATGTAAGCAATTAACAGAAAAAACTGAAAAACTGAAATGTTTGCATGTAACTTGGTTACCGCTTTCTGTAACCCGAGTTACAAGTATTCTAAAAATAATTCTCAATACAGTGGTACTCAGGTACCAAAATGCAGTACTCGAACACGTTTGTTTCAAATTCCATTTTTCAATACAGTAGTAACCTGATTACCAAAACGCAATATCCGAGTACCGCACTTAAATTATGTGATTTTCACAATGACTTTTACTAGTAATTACATCACGCTTTTTTCAACCTCTATAGTCAAATTTAAATGAACTATGGAATTTTTTAATTAAGTTGATGTTATCATTGTTATATCTAAGTCGTTTGAGATCATCCAAACATTGCTTATCATTGCTTATTTTTCAGTGACTTTTATGACATATCAAATAACTGTTGAAGACATGTTGGAACTTTGACTAAACTAGGAGTTTCAAGGTTTTCTATCGAAGGCAAGAAATATTTGAATCTTGGGACTTAGTGAAACTTGGGAAACTTTCAGGAGTTTTGATGGTTACTATTTATACAAGTATGTCTAGATGAAATACAAATGGATAAGATCAGACAATTATTTGGGACGAGTGGAAGCTTATCAGACACGAAGGTTGCATGAAAATGAAGATGTGTCAGATGTTTCTTAGTCGAGCGTTAGTGACGGTTATGTTAGGATTAATATATAAACACTTCATGTATATTGGATTAGGGATCCGTAATTTCACACACGTTTTACATACTCAAATTATCCAATTGTTAGAGAGAAAAGAGTGATTTGAAAATATATGTACTTGCGTTCCATTTTATGAATTAAATTTCTTACTTTTTAGTCATTTACTACATTAAAAGTTATTTTCAATTTCTTTTTATTTCAACTTTAATGTCACATGTGTTTCGAACGTACAATTTTTGCACAATCTATCCAAAGATCTTTTCAAATTTAATCCATTAAATAAAATCAAACTTGTTTTTGTTTACCAAATTTCCCTGTAAACACTTCCTCAATCAGTATTTTTAATATCTTAAACACTCTTTAGATGGGGAGAAGAAATAATCAACTTGTTGTACGATGTATTGAGACTATAGTCTATATTTAGGGTGATGATCAATTAAGGTTTCCATTATTCTTAAATAGTTCATTTTAAAATCCACACTCATATTTTAGCCCATATATTACTAATTAATTAATTACTAAATAAAAATCTATTCAGTCTTTTAATTTTATTTGACCACTTAATTAAAACTTTTAAATTAATAAATAATTAATATAATTAATATAAATATATATATATATATATATATATATATATATATATATATATATATATATATATATATATATATATATATATATATATATATATATATATATATATATATATATATATATATATATATATATATATATATATATATATATATATATATATATATATATATATATATATATATATATATATATATATATATATATATATATATATATATATATATATATATATATATATATATATATATATATATATATGTATGTATATATAATTAAATACTATTAAACATAAAATATTTTAACAATTGATTCTTTCAAATCAAGTCGTTTTAAGTTTTTAAAGATCCCGTATTCAATTAGCTATAATTTAACTATGAAAAGTAAATAGAGATTCTATTTGATTATAGTTTAATTATGATAGATGTATTATGAGATAGTCATATATATATATACCCACAATTCTATTTTGAAATATGTAAATTCTTATGTTGTACTACTTCTTACCTTAAAAGACGATCATATTTCCAACCATATATCTTTGTTGATTGATATGCTTTTACTAGTAATTACATTTGCATATTTTTAATTTATGGCTGATGCACTTTGCAGTATGAGTCTGGGGTATAAAGTTCCAACTATGCATAGTCTTCGTGGCTATTTGTTAAATAAATGGGTTGAAGATGTGAATAAATTGATAGAGGAGTATCGTGAGATTTGGAAGAAAACTGGTTGTACTCTAATGGCCGATGGATGGACTGATCGAAAAAGAAGAACTCTTATAAACTTTCTAGTTTATTATCCCAAAGGTACTATTTTTCTAAAATTCGTTGATGTTTCTCATGCTTCAAAAACTGCAGATATGTTGTATAAGCTTTTTAGAGAGGTGGTTTTATTTGTTAGGCCTGAAAATATAGTTCACATAGTGACAGATAATGCTACAAATCATGTTGCTGCTGGAAGGTTATTAGAAAATGAGTTTCCTACTTTATTTTGGTCTCTTTGTGCGGCACATTGCATTAACTTGATGTTGCAAGACATGGGAAAATTAGAGGAAGTAAGTGAGACAGTGTCACATGCTTCTAATGTTACCAAATATATTTATAACCATTGTTATGCATTGTATTTAATGAGAAAGCAAACAGGTGGAAGAGAAATCCTTCGTCCTGCTCCAACTCGGTTTGCCACTAATTTCATTGTTTTGCAAAGTATTTTGTCTCACAAAAACTCACTAAGAGCCATGGTAACATCTAAAGAATGGACAAGCTCAGCATATGCCAAAGAAGCAAAGGCAAAACAGTTTGTGGATCAAGTTTTAGATTCTGGATTTTGGAGTAAATATGCTGATGTAGTTAAACTCACTGAACCACTTGTGTGTGTGTTGCGTATTGTTGATAGTGAAGATAAACCTGCTATGGGCATTCTATACAAATCTATAGTCAAAGCTAGAGAGGAGATGGTGAGGAGGTTTCAAAGAAATAAGAAGAAAGTGGATCCTTACTTGAAAATCTTAGATAAACGTTGGGATTCACAGCTCCGCAAAAATCTTCATGCTGTCGGTTATTGGTTGAATCCAGCTTGTAGATATAATGATGTAGAATTTGAAAAACATGCATCCACAACATCAGGACTTTTAGATGTCATTGAAAAGCATGCTAATGGAAATTCTGAACTTCGATTGAAGTTAACAGATGAGATGAGAATATTCAAAGACGGTGAATTAGATTTTGGAAGGAAATCAGCCGTGGATGAATGATGTATTGTGAGGGCAGGTAATTTCATAACTTCTAACTCTTGATATATATTTTATTTTATATTTCAATATGTTTATAAATTTATTTAATCACATGGTATAAACAGATCAATGGTGGAAAACTTATGGCACTTGTACACCAACTTTGCAAAGGTTAGCTATTCGTATTTTAAGCCAAACTTGTAGTGCTTCGGGTTGTGAACGCAATTGGAGTATATTTGAGCATATTCATTCCAAAAAAAGAAACAGATTGGAGCACCAAAAGCTTAATGATTTAGTGTTTATTCGTTACAACTTGAGACTTCAAAATAGGTATTGTTATGGTTATTTTTCTCTGATCATTATATTTTTATATTTAAATACATATACTTAGATTTAATTCATGTGTGCTTAGGAAAATAAGAAATGGGAGTTATGATCCTATCAATATTGAAACAATTGCCGACCATTCTAGTTGGGTATTAGAGGATTCACCACCTCTCTTAACCAATGAAGAGTTGGAAGTATTGCGGAATGACCTTGCAAATATGACCATCCAACCAATTTCAAGTGATATTGGTATGTTCTAATATGAGCATAATATAGTTTGTGGTTGTGAATCAATTTAATGTCTCATATTTACCATCTCTAAATTTTTTTTGTTAATTATTTTTTAAAATATTGTTATAGATCAAATAGATTTAAATGAGGATGAAGATGGAGATATGGGTAATGCACGAGATACTATTGTTGATACTGTGAATCAAGAAAAAAGTAACACCAGAGAAAATGAAGTTGGTGGAGAAGACAATGAAGTTGAAGATGGATATGAATATCAAAATTATGACAATTTGACTTCATGGACATAAAAAATTATGGATCGTTGAGTATGGATTTTTGTGACTTATTATAATACTATAACTTATGAATTGTTAAGTTTCTATCACTTCTTTGAATTTATAATTTGCTACATTAAGTTTCTATCACTTATTTTGATTGTTACTAATACTTTTGTTTATTCTAAATTATTTAAATTTATAATTTTCTATATTATTATAGTTACAAATTTCAGGTAATGAATATATTTTTTATAGAAACTGGGTTAAAAGTCATGCGGTCTGACTAGTGATCCACTGGTCCGACCAGTAACCTAGTGAGCCAGTAATTTTACCGAATCGATCACCGGTCTGGATTTTAAAACATTGACATCAATAGTCTAATTTTAAATTAATTGTCGAATTGTTTAATTAAGTTGATTTTATCATTGTAATATCTAAGTCGTTTGAGATAGTCCAAACATATGCCTTTTCTATTTCAAAGAATCACGATCCTTTCCCAATGACCAACTCCCATAACCATCAGATATCATCGTTCAATTATCACAAACTTTTTCTATGTCTCCCTCGAAAACTTAGTTCGCAGATATATAAAAATATGCTCCAAAAATGAGTTTTCGAAACAAACAAAAAACAATTTCATAAGAAACCTACAACGATGTCTCACGAAATGGACATACCAATTACCAAATACAGAAATACTTCTAACTTTTCATGCAATGGTAGTTATTATAAACCAAGATGCAAATTTAAACCAAATCCTTCACTACATCCGCTGCCTCTGTTGAATCCACCAAGTCTCTCTTGATGCTGATGGCCATGAGCTCCCGAACTTGCTCCTGGCATCGTATATAGCCACGACAACGAAGGAGCTTGAGACGGTACAGCACCGGCGAAATGATATTGCTGCGGTGGAGGAAACATAAATGTATTATGATAATGCGAGGGTACAAAGCTCCGAGCAGCTTTCATTTGAGCACGCTTCAGAAGCTGTCTTTCTTTCTTATGCGCGTTTTGGTGTCCTCCTAATGCTTGCGAATTTGCAAATTCTCTACCACAATATTGACACTCGTATAGTTTTTTCCCATTCAAAGACTCAGATAGTTCTGATCGGGATTGTGAGAGTGGTGATGGAGATTGATTCAAACTAGCTTCTTCTTGAATGTTAATGCCAAAAAGTTTTACAGTATTGATAGAGGTAGGGGTGGAGTTTTCATGGCAATCAACATAGGCCATTAGGGTTATATATGTGTGAATGAGAGCTACAAAATATGTATATGTGAGGGGTTTATATAAAGAGTTGAAATGTATACATAAACTTGGGATTAGGTATATATATATATATATATATATATATATATATATATATATATATATATATATATATATATATATATATATATATATATATGTGTGTGTGTGTTGGTTGAATGGTTGTTGTGAATTTCAATGGAAAAGAGACAACAAACGAATCAAAAGTTAAAAGCATGGTGTGCTTGGTGAGAATATAACTATAATTTCATATAGAGAAGTGTGACACTATACGCATGACATATATGATATGTTACATATATAACACAAGTTATAATTTATATATTCATATTTCAAGATCCTAGAGGAGCAGTGTTTTTCTCTTGGCATACATTTTTATTTGTTTTCAATTTTGTGTTTTTGTTTTCTTGTGTTTTTATTAGAAAGATACTCAATATCAGTGGCTGCAAATTTAAATAATTGATACATGGGTTCTATAAAAATATATATTTGATGCATATATAGCAAGAATAATCCTATAAAATAAAATTTAAGAGTATACGTGTATTAAGTTATGGTGGTCTGGGCACATAAAACAAATTAAAGGGTATATGCTTTTTGGCTTTAAATGCTTAATGTGTTTGTAGTCTAGTTTGAACATACCTTATTTAATTTGCAAGTGGATCTGATCAATTTTGGCATGGATTTTGTTGTGATTACAAGAGTTAGTCATTTAAAATCAATTTATGATTGTGAGGTTTAGATTACTCCTTATAAAATTAATTAAGGGTAATTTACTTTTATGGATCTATATCAATGAAATTTTATAATATAAATTTAATTTTTAAAATTATATATTAATTTAAAACTTTAAGATATTAAAAAAAAAAGTTTAATATCTTCTTTTTCATACAATCTCAGACTTATTTACTCACACTTGACATACTAATATCTTACTACTCAAAAATCAAATTATATATCATTTTTTTAATTTAATTTTGATTCTTTAAAATTTTAAATAAATATATAATTTTAATATTTTACTTTATATAACAAACTTAATTAATGCACATCATAAGAGTAATTTACTCCTAAATATCCCTTGGATAACCAAAAATTTACCATTTATGATTTTTTTTTCATGTAATCTTATATTGAATGTTTACATAAAAGAATAGAATGAAAGAGCTTAAAATATTAACAATTTGTAATTTTTTTAAGTTTCTTTGTAAGTTTTTTTTATAAATTAAACCTTGTTAAAAAATAAATATATTTTTGAATAACTTAACTTGAGAATAATAAAGAGATCACTTTTTTTTTTTATTTCTTTATGTTTTTCTTAAATTATTTTTTGATTAGGTCTAGCCTCTCGATTTTTTTAGTATCTTTTTAATAATATAGTTTGATTTTAGAAAGAAAAGAAAATAGGAAAAGAGAGAACACGTTTTTTTTGGTAATTAAGAAGGTATTTTTTCCAAGATAATTAAAAGGACAATTTGACATCAGTAACTAAGATGAAAACTAGTTCCAATATAAAAGAAGATGAACACTAGCCGATATTTGTTGATCATTATTCAAAAGCTTTTCCAAATGTCTTATATGTACAAATTGTACTTCTCTTAGTCAATATAGACAAAATACTCCCACTTCCATTTGTTATTATAAAATGCTATACAAATTTAATGGATATTAAACAAAATAGTTGTAGTAAAAGAATTATAAAAAATGTATTATTTGTTGGAAATTCACCTAGTATATTTCGACCAATAATGATGATTAGTTATGAGAAAAACAAATAAAAGAAGACAAGATAAATATTTCTACAGAGTTTCTCTCTGCCCATAAACTGTGGAAAACTTTCTTAATCACTTGCAACTGTAAATTCTGTGATTACAATGAATTGTCTTGCTTGACTTGCTTTTAAAATAGGGGTTACTCCCTCTATTTATAATTGAGCTTACACCCTAAGTCCAAGGCCCAAAAATATCTTTTTGTTACTAAATCAAATCTAATCAAATCTATTCTAGACTTAAATCAAATCTATTTACACTACAAAAAAGAAGCTTAGTTGCCACGTGAAAATCACGTGGCAAACATCAAAATCACGTGGCAAGGCAAAATTAGCGACGTGGTGAGTTATGTCGCTGGGGAGTAAGTGGCAAGCAAGTAGCGACGTGATTCCCACGTCACAAAGTTGTGACGTGGTATTCACGTCGCTACATATTTGTTAATGGCAGCTTTATTAGCGACGTGAGAATTATGTCACTAATTTGTGACATGATTCCCACGTCGCTACAGGGGACGTTTATATTTTTTAAAAAATTGTTAATAATTATTTTTTATATTAATTCATTAATGTAATAAAATTTAAATAATAAAATTTATATAATAAAATTTAAATAATAAAATTTATATAATAAAATTTATATATTAAAATTTATATAATAAATTTTATATAATAAAATTTATATATTAAAATTATTAGAATAATAGTATTTTATTTTATATTTCGAATAATAGAATTTTATAAAATAAATTCACATAATTAAATGTTATATAATTTATTAATTTAAAATGATAAAAATAAATATATCTTACATAAATGCAAATATAAAAACGAAATAAAAAAAATGTTTTCACGGGGCATCTTCACCCGGAAAATTATCAAGATCAAAGTCATCAAGTCCGTCATCATCCGGCTGTGTATGATCAGGAACATTTTGATTTCGACCGCCTTGCATAAACTGTCTCATCTGCTCCTCCATATCAGATTGCCGCTTCCGCACGATCTCTAACTGACGCTCCTGCTCTTGCCGCATTGTCGTCATTTGGGCCTCCATTTCGCGTCTCACTTCACTGGCCGCCAATTGTCGTAATGTTTCAAGTTGAACCTGAGTCAGATTGGATTGACGTGACCCCCCTTCTCCATCTCTAAGTCTTTGAAACAGATTACGATCACCAACTCTCAAGCCGGCGGCCAAATTTCCTCCCGCAAAAAAGCAACCATTAGGCCCTTTTCCATTAACAACCTCATTCCAAATATAGAAATCAACATCCCCATTAAGCGGCTCCCCCTCTGCTGGCCTATATTGCGGATTGTGTTCCAGAAAACGTGCTAGCAATGTCTGATAATCATCCTACACATACATTAAATAATACAATTAAAAAAAAATTAAAACATTTATATATTAAATTATACTAAATTCAAATATATTAAAAATTTGTCACGTGATTTTCACAAATCAACTTATGAATTGCCACGTGAGTTTCCCGTGGCAATGTATCAGTTGCCATATGAAAATCAGTCACCTGGCAATTTATCAGTTGCCACATGATAATCACGCCACAACTTATAGATTGCCACGTGGAAATAACGTCACTATTTTTGTTATTAACTTAAAAAAAAACATAAGTTTAATTACTTACAAAAGCTTTCTGGGTGCGGTCGTCGACAAAACCTCCCGATTTTTTTGTCCGAGTCCTCGTAATCAACTCAATGATCAACGGTGGTCTCCCCATCTCCTTAGTCTAAACAATAAAGTTAAAAATAATTAGTAAAAAATATTATGAATAAAAATATATATAACTTAAAAAATTAGTAATATTTACCATCCGCCGGACATGCTCTGCAGTGCTAATACTTCCAACAGTATTGACACATCCCCCCTTTTCGGATGCCCTCATCTTCTTAAAATTTTCGGATTTGACCTTGAATTCTGGCGAACTCCAATATGTACGAAGTTCGCCAAAAACCTCTACGCCTATCCAGTTAGGACGGATACCATGCAGCTCATAATTCTCCCTAACCCGCCGCATGATATCAGAAAATCTTCTAGAAGTTCTGCTATAATATATTTTTTCCATTATTTTCTCATTCAACGGATCCCACACACATTTTTCCTGCAATGTTGTATGACATTAAAATAAAAAGTTAAGCAATTATCATTAAAATGTGACTTAAATAACAATACTAAAAAAATATAATAAATTTACAACTTAAATAAATAACAATACCTTAAATTTTTTAAACCATTCTTCTTTATTTGTAACCTCGCCAAAGTTCTTCCAAGAGGATTTATACATCTGCTGGATTATATAATTAATAACCTTGGCAGCCGTCCGACTCGGCGCGAAACTAAACAACAAGATTTTGAATAAACAATATTAATTATAAATTTATACAAAATATTAAAATGAATATGTACTTAAATAAAAGTTTATATAAGAAACTTACTTGCTTCCTACGGGCCAAATCCAAAACCTCCCGTCAATTACATGAATCTCACTCGGATCATCTGATCTCTCACGAATATCAGCTCCATCTATATCATCAGCTACGACATCTGCATCACCGCCAGCCTGTGTAGGACGTGGGGTGCTGGATCCTGCAGCCTGTGTGGGATGAGGGGTGCGTGACCCTCCGGTCCGTCTAGGACGTGGGGCGCGGGATCCTGCAGCCTGTGCCGGACGTGGACTGCTGGGTCCTCCAATGTGTGTGGAGTGTGGGGTGCTGGACCCTCCCGCCTGCTGGAAGGATGAATACATCTGTGTGGGTCCCCCTGTCTGCTGGAATGATGAAGGCACGCCAGTCTGTATAAATGGAAAACTGGGTCCTCCCCCCGTCTGCTGGAATGATGAGGGGACACCAGTCTGCTGGAAAGATGAAGGCACCTGGGTCGGTGGGAAAGGGAAACTAGATCCTCCCGCATGCTGGAAGGAAGATGGCATCTGAGTCTATGGGAAAGGAACACTAGATCCTCCCGCCTGCTGGAAGGATGACGGCATCTGGGTCGGTGGGAAAGGGAAACTAGATCCTGCTGCATGCTGGAAGGAAGACGGCATCTGAGTCTGTGGGAAAAGGAAACCGGGGCCTCCAGGTGGCACAAAAGATGCAGGTACCCCAGACGGGAATGTATGGGAGGAGAGTAATGGGACAAAACCCTGAGTACTGGCCAGGGACATATGATCAACCTGACTCTGAGGGG